TAAATTACATGATTTAGGCCTTGGAGTTTGATTAATAATGATGGAAAATGAAGAAAACAAGTTGGAATTTACTAACCCAAGTGGTCTTGAAGAAAGGAGGCTTCAATGGACGTCTAAGTGCTTGGAGAAGAAAGGAGTTCGTGTATTTTTGAAGGAATCCCGTAGCTACTGTTTCTGAAAATTAACATTTAACTGGGCAAAATTTGCCCTTCGTGTTCGCAGGAAGGGAGCCGCGTTCGCGAAGGGTTGACCTAAATGAACATCGCGTTCGCGATTGGGGAGGACGCGAACGCGAAGAGAAAAAGGCTGGGGTTCAGGATTTTGGTCTATGCGAACGCATGAAGGCCCACGCGAACGCGATGAAGAAGGCTGCAAGGCTACTCGTTCGCGAACCTGTGAATGCGAACGCAAAGAGGAAATTACTGGGGTCTCAAATTTGGCTTACGCGAACGCGAGATGTTGTACGCGAACGCGATGAAGGAAATTCTAATGTTTCGCGAACGCGGAAGAGAGAGTGCGATCACGAAGAAGGAAATGACTGGGCACCTGTTGCAGACTTTTCTGCAACTTTTCTAAGTTTTAAAACCTCCCGGAACACCTCCGAAACACTCCCGAGCCCTCGGGGCTCCTAACCAAATATACACACAACCTCAAAAACATCCTACGGACTTATCCGTGCGATCAAATCGCCAAAATAACATCAAACTCAATGAATTAAACCTCAAAATCATCACTTTTTCATCAACTTCATAAACTTTCATTTTTAAAGATTTAGGTCCGAAACACGTCAAATGACGTCCGATTTCAACCAAATTTCACAGAAAGCGCTTAAACCACATATAAGACCTGTACCGGGCGCCGGAACCAAAATACGGGCCCGATACCAACACGTTATAATCCATTTTCGTTTCAAATTTCCATATTAATTTTAGAAAAACAATTTCACAGAAAAATTCATTTCTCGGGCTCTAGACCTCGGAATTCGACTCCGGGCATATGCCCGAGTCTCATATTTTTCTATGGACCCTCCGGGACTGTCCAATCACGGGTCCGGGTCCATTTACCCAAAATATTGACCAAAGTCAACTTTAATCATATTAATACCAAAATTCATCATTTTTCACACAGAATTCGTATTTAAGCTTTCCGGCTACGCGCCCGGACTGCGCACTCAAATCGAGGCGACTAATAATGTGGTTTTCAAGGCCTCGGAAGCACGGAATGAATGAAAAAATAGGTGATGACCCTTTGGGTCGTCATACTGTCGTCTCATTGCAAATACCGAGTGGGCAACAACGCATACGAACTAATACGAAGAATCAAAATCGTAGATTTCAAGCTGAAACAAGGTCGCATGATAAGGAAAGAAAGACGCAAAAATTTTCTAATTGCCCTATAGCCTCTCGAAGATAGGTATGGACGTCATCATACCGATTCGTAAGATTCTACTAGACACTTTCTCATGACTCGTAGAACCAACGAACCTAGGGCTCTCATACCAATTCGTCACGACCCAAAATCCACTAGTCGTGATGGCACCTAACTCGACCCGTTAGGTTAGCCAATTAATAGTTAACACAATTCTAATAAAATAAAGGTGATCAACAAATAATATATCTGGATTCCATATAATATCCCAAGGAGTGGTAGTACAAGTCATGAGCTACTAAAACTGGATTATTGTAAAATTTGATATGAAATAGATACAACTTCTGTTTGAAGTGTACACAAAACAGAATTCAACTCTAAAACTACCTAGGGACAAGTGGTAGCCACACCTGAAAGGTACAAAATCTTCAGAGTCAGCTCCAGTCATCCACAGCAGCTTTACTCCAAGATTTGCACGCAAGGTGTAGAAGTGTAGTATGAGTACAACCGACCCCATGTACTCAATAAGTATCTTGATTAACCTCGGTGAAGTAGTGACGAGGCTTTTTAGTTAAAAGATACTCACCGATATAACCTGTGCAGTTGACTAACAATAGAACAATACTAGAACCTAACAGAAAAGAGTACAAGAAACAAATATGCGAAGCAGTAAATGATTACTAGAAAAAATCACGATAAATATTCCTCAATATCACGACCAATCCTTTCCTTAGAGCGATAACCAGCAAACCAAGGTAGTAAATTCATAACTCTCATAGTGTGAGAAATATACTCAAGGTATCAAATCAATGGCACGGCAACACCCTTCGTGCATTTATCTTAATCTCGCCAAATATATGGATAACAATACCAACCAGGTGAAACAAAATGCAAATAATAGTAATGACATAGTGGGAAATACACAAGTAGCAATACCGAACAAGGCAGTACATATGGACAATGGTAACAAACTAGGTAGAGGCATAGGATTAATGACAACAATTAGGAAAGAAGAACATAAAAATCAGAACTCTTCAAGAAGTAAGGTATCAGAATTGCATAAGGTAATGCAGCATCCAAAACAAGTCTATCATTAAGAGCTCCGCGGTTAGAGTCATAGATGTGGATGCATCTATCTACGAACGTAAACACCCCCAGAACCCAATGTCCCAATTTTGCTCTTCCGCGCTTCACAAAGATAGGGAATAAGACGTGGTCAACAGTATGCCACGGGACATTTGCATCACAATAATAACCTCTGATGTACTCTTCTATCTCACGCCCGTCAGGAATCACTGAAGGATCTTGATTCACTTTGAAATCTTTGTATAGGGAGTTGATTTTGTTACCAAAGGCAAAGTTGGTTGTAGTAAACCGCATGGCAACACTCGGCCCATATTTTCCCCTCTTCCTCAAATAATAAAAGAGGACATCCAGGTGCTGAGACAAGAAATAAAACAGAACAACCATCACTACCAGATTTTTTAAATATAGAAGTTTATACACTATTATACACAGGTATATATATTTATACAAGGTTATACAATCTTATACTGTAATTATACAAAGCTATGTATACACTATGGGGGTCTCAAAACAACAAAGATATGCAACAAAAATAAAAAGGGAATTAGAACAGAAATTTATTAAAATACCGTGTCAATCAAAGGTCGACCACAATATGCAAGTGAGTGGAACCAATCCTTCTTGGTCACATAACACGAGCCAAAAGTAAAACCTTCTGCAAGATTATTTACTTCATCGGGATATATATGTTTGGCACTTCAAATCACAAAAAATAAAAAGTAATCAGAACTACATTCATTGACAAGTATAAAATCAGAACATGAAAGATTGAAGAAAGTGAAGATACCTTCGCCTCGTATCCATCCCATTATCAACAAACGCGCAAAACTCTTTAGCCAATGGCGACAATGTATCAAAATCATCAATTTCGATCGTGAAAGGATGCTTGATATCAAAAATGAGCTTGGGCGCCGATTTTGATGCTCCAGAATCAAAAACTGGCAAATATGGAGATTTGGCATATTTTCCTGGTATTTTCTGTCGAACTGAATGGTCAGGAGAAATGTAATCATCTTCTACTTCTATGATGGATTGTTTGTGAACCACAAGTTGGGACATATGAGCTAAATCTTCATCACCAATGTCATCCCAAAATGTGTCACCCTTGACATCACCTGCTGCCCCTTAGACATAGAAACACAAATAATACAAAACTTCAAAAAGAAGAAAAGAAAAATCAGACCAAAAAAAAAAAAGCAGAACAAATACCATTATCAACACCATCAGTAACTCCCTCGTCAGCTACCACATTATCTTGATTCATTTGATTGACAAAGTTAGGAACAACATCATATTGATAGCCATCAAATTCGCCAAGACCAGATGTATTTCCATCAAACACGGGCTGACGAATCTAATAAAAAACAATAGAAAGAGAAGGCATGTTGAGTTTAGAGAAGGCATAACTGTTGAGTGATTTGGTTTTATCAGTAAACAATTACCTTAGAATCAGTAAAATCCTCCCTCGTTTGCTTGGGTTCCTTCATATTCAGAAAACTGAACACTTTTTCAAAGGAAGAAACGACATAGTTGTTGAGTGTCGTCACTGTATCAGTCAACTACAACAAAAGCAAATAAACAACCATGTTTATTACCAAAAAGTAATTATAAACTACAGAAAAGCTAAAGGTCCAGTACCTTTCCAACATCACTCCTCAGCTTTTGAACTTCATCATTCAAAAGATCAAGACGCACAAAAGGATCATAACTTGGATTAGGCTGTGGATTCATAGTCTGAGGACAAGGTCGTTTAGACTGTTGCTCTGCATTTTGAGGATAAGGTCGTGTAGACTGTTGCTCCATATGCTGAGGACAAGGTGAAGGTGCACCAACAAAATCATCAGTGTGAGAGGCAGGAACAACAAGCACCTCCCCTGATGCAACTTCATCGGCATTGACTTCAAGAAGTGTGTCGATGTTCAGACTTGACATCTCTTCAGAAGTAGGGGAAAATGTTACTATAGTTCAACTACAGAAAAAAAAAACGGATTACATAAGTGAAAAAAATACAGAAAAAACTAATCCATATATGAAGAAGTGATTATGGTACAAATGATTTACCTTGTCGACACTACACATGATCACGCCGCCAGTCAAATCCGCATATGATGGGTGTTAGTCACTTTCCAATTAAGAATGTGTGGCACATTTGTGCAACGCGAACAGCTAGATTCTTATCAACCATTGAGGCAACACTCAGAAAACCAACCTGTAAAGCAAGCGGCAAACCTCCAAGCCTATACATTGTCAAATAATCGCATTGCCTGTCCTCATTTTCCTTAAAAATCTTCAAATGACTTTTTTCCCCAAGGAAACATCTTATATTGGCCACTTTCAATGATATCAAAATCATCTTTGGTGATACCATGATTATTGGCATCAGAGAAGATGAAATGATGGACAACACCATCAGGCCATCTTGAACGCATTAATCATCCGACTTCCATCCTTTTTGCTTGAAGCGATCAAGAAGCTCCCCCTTGTTATGGCCTTTTTCCATCTCCTGGAAAATACTCTTTCAGCAACCTATTAACATCTGGTTTGTCATAGAAAGGGCGTCGGTCATCTACGCATTCAAACCAGTGATAAGAGCAAACTCTCCAATGCCAAAACGCAGCAAACAACCATTAATCTTCACCCACAACTCCCTTTCACGTCCTGGGACGACTTCCCTCAATAATATACAATGAATAAGTTGATTTTGAATTTTAAATTGAGGGAGGTCCAGGAAGTACCCAAAACAACTAGCACGGAACATTTGAAGCTGCGTGTCAGTCAAACATTGCTTCAAAATGTTCACAATATCAGGCTCGGTATGGGAACTAATCCTGTTGTGGAAATAATCAACTGGTTGTATATAGAAGTCCCCAACCTTGGATATAGGAAAATAACAAGAAATAGATCAAGAACAAAAAATATACTAAAACATTTTATAAGACTGTATATACAAGTATAGCAGTGCTTGTATAAAGATGTATAAACAGATGTATAACTTTGTATAAAACTGTATAAGCATGTATAAATAAATAGCAAAACAGGGAATACCTTCAACTTAGCTTTTCTCTTATTCAATTTCAAGCGAATAACGACCCTTTGTTCTCTCGATTGTAAATCAAGGCAACTCTCACCATCATCCTTCATCTTTCTCCTTTTCCGTTTAACATTGCGGACTACATCATCTTCATTAAACAAATCATCTTTCAGCTTATCTGTTGATTTTGCAGGTCTGCCGCATTTCTTACTCCTTAGTCTAACGATGTTAACCAGAGTAGGACTATTACTTGTTTGGGAACGAGTCATTCGACTGCTCCCTTGTTGCAACATTTTTGGAGGAGGAGGCGACTCAAAATCATCATCATCGGGAGCCTGCACATGCTTATTCGCTTCAGAAGAAGAGGGTGAGGGAAAGTCACTCGAAGATTTAACTGGAGTGGGAGTATTTCTCATTTGAGAACGAGTCATCCGACTGCTCTCTGGTTGCAAGTTTTTAGGAGGAGCAGCAGAATCAAAATCATCAACTTCTGGCGCCGGGGCATTTACATTAGATTCTGAATCAGGGCTTGAGGGAAACTCCCTCAATCGTTTCGCATAATCTAACTAACGCCTTTTCCGTCAATCTTCAGTTTGTTTTTAGAAGCAGACATTTTTGAACGCATTTTCTACAATAAACCAAACAAACAAAGCTTTAACAAAACAAACACAAAAGTTAAAGCAAAAACTCACACTGTAACAAAACTCAAAAGTTAACCCAAAATGCCATAAACACAAAGCAGAGGCCAAAATAAAGCTTTAACAAAAGTGAAGACAACTGAAGGAAAACAAACAAATAAAACTGTAACAAAACTCAAAATCTAAACAAAAATAAAAGCCATAAACTCAACGCAGAGGCCAATTTTCCCAAATTTTAACAAAACTCAAAAAACCAAAAATTCTACCCTAAAAGTCGAAATAACAAACCATGCATTTCGTTTCATCAAGTTTAAGTCTCGAACGCAGAAACAAGGAACACAAAATCATCCGAAAAAACACAGCAACATTGAAAAAAATTGGCGTAATCAGAAAAAGCAAAAAAAAAATCAAAAAAAAAAAACAAAATTCAAAACCAACACTGTAGGAAAAGCATAAAATGAAACGAAAATTACCTCAAACTAAGATTGAAACCTCGAAAAGCAACTTACACACAACAATGGAGTCGGTTATGGTCTGAGAAAATCAAGAGGAAGAGAGAGTGAGAAAAGCGTGAGGAAGAGAGCAACAGAGAAATTAAAATTTAAAATATTAAAACGGTTATGTTAAGGTGTGGGCTACTGGGTGAAAATAAAATTTCATAAGTTAGCCAATATGGGCTATGCCAGGTAAAGGCCTCAAAATATGGGCTATTTTTGAGTGGGCTGTATGGCGCAAGTGACATAGAGTATAATTTCTTCTAAGTAATTAGGGGGGAGGGGGGGGGGGGGACGCAAATACTACCTTTTATAAAACTTAACTTATATACTACACCAACTAAATTGAATACAACATCCTACTTGATCAAACTGGACCAAAAAGCATCTTCTTTTTAAGGAGGAAATAGAAGAGAATAATCCACATTATTATTTCTCCTAACTTTCGAGGGAAAAAGAGATGTACAAGAAATTAAAAAGACCAAAGAAATTAAAAGCATAATCAGTTTTTGAGAACATCTTCTTTCCATAAACAAATTACCAAAAGTGAAAAAAGAATCTATATAATATTGAGTAAGTTAATTGAAACCATTATGCAAAATTACAACAATATAACATATATTGTCATAGAGTAATATTGACACTTAGTTACTTACCTTCTATATATACAAATCTAGGCAGCATTTTAATTTACATTTTGTTATAAAATAATAAAAGAACAAGAGCAATATTGCAGAGAAAGAGAGAGAGGGAATTCTTATTGATTTGGGATGAATTACAATGGAATAGAACCCTCTATTTATAGGGAGATGGTGACTTAGCCACCAAGTAATAAACCCTAGAATCTCTCTAAATATAGATATTCACCATAAATAGAATTCTATTTATAACACTCCCCCTGAATGTCTATTCAACAGATAATGTGCCTCGTTAAAACCTTAACTAAAAGAAAACCCAATGGGAAAAAAATTTCTAGAAAAGGAAAAAGAGTACACATGTTTAGGAATGCGCCTATTGGTTGCCTCGTTAAAAACCTTGCAAGAAAAACCCAGCGGGACAAAACCTTGTTAGGGAAAAAGAGTGCAACGCGCATTAACTCCCCCTGATGAGAGCATCAATTCACATCCTTGAGCCTTCGCATCCCGATCTTGTACACTAGCTTCTTGAAGGTTGACGTTGGTAGAGATTTTGTGAACAAATCAGCCATATTATCACTTGAACGAATCTGTTGCACATTGATATCACCATTCTTTTGAAGATCATGTGTGAAAAATAACTTTGGTGAAATGTGCTTTGTCCTATCTCCTTTTATGAATCCTCCCTTCAATTGAGCTATGCATGCTGCATTATCTTCATACAGAATTGTGGGTAGTTTGTCACATTTCAAACCACATTTGTCTTGAATAAGATGTATTATGGACCTCAACCACACACACTCTCGACTTGCTTCATGAATAGCAATTATCTCAGCATGATTAGATGAAGTAGCCACAATTGATTGCTTAGTCGATCGCCAAGATATGGCAATGCCTCCACAGGTAAATACATAACCTGTTTGAGACCGAGCCTTGTGTGGGTCAGCTAAATACCCAGCATCAGCATAACCAACAAGATCGGGACTGTAATTATTGCCATAAAATAAGCCCATATCGGTAGTTCCTTTTAGATACCGCAATATGTGTTTGATCCCATTCCAATGTCTCCTTGTGGGAGCAGAGCTATATCTTGCTAAGACATTAACTGAAAAAGTTATGTCAGCCATTGTAGTATTGGCAAGATACATTAGTGCACCAATTGCACTAAGATATAGTACTTCAGGACCAAGTAGCTCTTCATTCTTTTCTTGAGGTCGGAATGGATCCTTATTCACATCAAGTGATACTTAATAGATGTGCTCCATCCATGTAAAACCGTTTCAATACCTTTTCTATGTAGGTAGATTGATGAACAAAAATTCCGTTTGCCAAATGTTCAATTTGCAAACCAAGACATAAATTTGTCTTTCCGAGATCTTTCATCTCGAATTCCTTCTTTAAATAATCAATTGCCTATTGGAGTTCTATAGGAGTTCCAATAAGGTTTGTGTCATCAACATATACGGCAAGTACAACAAATTCCGATGTTGTTTTCTTTATAAAATACATGGGCAAATTGCATCATTTATATAGCCTTCCTTTAATAAATACTCACTAAGACGATTATACCACATTCGTCCTGATTGTTTTAGACCATACAAAGATCTTTGCAATTCGATTGAAAACATTTCCCGGGACTTTGAATTATTTGCATTAGGCATTTTGAATCCCTCGGGAATTTTCATGTATATCTCATTATCAAGTGAGCCATAAAGGTAGGTGGTAACAACATCCATTAAATGCATGTCAAGGTTTTCATGGACAGCAAAACTAATGAGATAACGGAACGTTATAGCATCCATAACGGTGAATATGTCTCTTCATAATCGACACCAGGCCTTTGTGAAAATCCTTGTGCAACAAGGCATGCCTTATATCTTTGTACCACATTTTTCTCATTTCTCTTGCGTACAAAGACCCATTTATAGCCAACAGGCTTAACACCATTAGGTGTTTGGACTACAGGCCCAAAAACTTCACGTTTTGCAAGTGAGTTCAACTCTGATTGGATTGCTTCTTGCCATTTTGGCCAATCAAGTCTTTGTCGACATTCTCCGACAGATTGAGGTTCAAGATCCTCACTTTCTTGCATAATGCTAGATACAACATTATATGCAAAGACATAATCCACCACTATATCCACTCGATTCAAATTTGTCTCAATATCGATTGGATTTATCGATAGTTCCTTATTTTCTTGAGTCTCAGGCTCAGTGAATTCCTCATGAATCTCAGAATTTATTAAATCGTGGATTTCTTCATGAGATTCTTTCGTAGTATCATTTTGATCATTTGTATTCCTTTTTCTAGGATTTCGATCTTTGGAACCTAATGGTCTGCCACGTTTAAGGCGTGCTTTTGACTCATTAGCTATGACACTAGAAGATTGTCCAATAGGGACATCAATACGGATTGGAACATTCTCCGCAGGGATATGTGATTTTGTTATCCTTTTCATATCCGTAAATGCATCTGGCATTTGATTTGCTATTCTCTGCAAATGGATAATCTTTTGTACCTCTTTTTCACAAGCAGAGGCACGTGGATCAAGATGAGATAATGATGGATTTTTTCACAAAATTTCCCGTTTGGTTTCACCAACTTCTTCCCCTAATTTTGGGAAAAGTGTCTCATCGAATCGACAGTCTGCAATCGTGCAGTAAACAAATCCCCCGTCAATGTTTCGAGGTAGCGAATAATGGAGGGAGATTCAAACCCAACATATATTCCTAACCTTCTTTGCGGACCCATTTTGGTGCGATATGGTGGTGCTACAGGCACATATACCGCGCATCCAAAAATTCTTAAATGGGATATATTAGGTTCATGACCCAAAACTAATTGCAACGGAGAATATTTATGATAATTTGTCGGTCTGAGACGAACTAGCATTGCTGCATGCAAAATGGCGTGACCCCAAATAAAAGTGGGCAACCTCGTTTTCATGAGTAACGGTCTTGCTATCAATTGCAGTCGTTTAATTAAAGACTCTGCAAGACCATTTTGACTGTGAACATGAGCTACAGGATGTTCCACTTTTATCCCAATTGATAAGCAATAATCATTAAACGCTTTGGATGAAAACTCAGCCGCATTATCAAGTCTAATAGACTTAATTGGATTATCGGGGAATTGTGCCCGTAATCGAATGATTTGTGCCATTAATTTTGCAAAAGTAAGGTTGCGAGATGACAATAGGCACACACGGGACCATCTAGAAGATGCGTCTATTAAGACCATAAAAC